GCCAATCCAATACTACTTACGAGGTCGCTTAAATTACTTCGAATGTTCACGAATGCTTTTGCTTTTCTTGTGGCCTATCAGATAGGCCCAACAGTACTTAAATTACTTCGAATGTTCACGAATGCTTTTGCTTTTCTTGTGGCCTATCAGATAGGTGTGGCCCAACAGTATTATTTGCCACATAAATAGCTTTTAGGTTTTGGATAAGCACACGTAATTATTTCGGACGGATTTCGAAGATACAGTAATTTATGCTATTTGAGATAAAAGCTTACTTTTATGCCTTTGCGCCGGTTTTCCAAAGTGAAATAAATTTCTTTCACTTCTCTTTAGGGTAAACAAGAGGATTGTGGTGAGCTGTTTATCGCGTGCTGTACCTTCGAAGCTGGCTGCAGCAAGAATATTACTACACGCGTTTTAAAAAGCGAATTTAACTGTTCCCATCCAGCAGAGGAAATGTGGGTTGTGCTTATAAGATACGCACCGCAGTGCACGTACGACTACGAATTTAAATGGGTGTACGGTAAGTAATATTGTCTTATTAACCATGATTACTACCGATGGATCCCGAAATTGGAAAGATACATAGGTATTTTTGGCGAAAACTGCAGGGACATTTGTAAACTGTTCTTTGATCTTATTGATTTTGTGACATTTTGTGACATCTTCAAACACAACACTGCACTGATGAAGATGATTTTACCCTGGGTGGTGTCTGCATGAAGTCAAGAAGGTGAGCAACGAAAACCGCTAGCGACCAGGGAGTTTTGCAGCTGTTGCAAAGCTGATTCACGGATTAACCAAAATTACCTTCTGAGATATTCATTATCCCGTCTGATCAAACCAGGATAGCGGCAATTAAATTCCGAAGCTTGTCTGATTCTTGAAATGGCGTCAGAGAAACGCATTTCACCGAGTATATACAGTGCAAAACATGGTCTAGAAAAAGGTGACGAAACCAACTTTGATAACGTACGGTCTGTGGACATCGTGTTGGCTTTGAAAACCTGTGCGGTTAAGAAAGATGAGGCCAGATATGTGTCATTAAGTTGGTTGTGCTTATGGGATCTAAATTTAGCAGCGGTTAGATAGCGAGCATCTCACGAGTGTGAATTACTTGCCAATACTAATTGAAATGGAGGAAAACAGAATCCATATCATTACTATAGATTGATTCCAACAATCTGTTGAACCATGTCAAGTTACGCGCAAAACCCCAAAAGCCAATTCTCCCAAATGGAGGTTTATCTACAAATGCTGTACTATAAGTACATTAACAAAATGATAAAGCCTTACAAACCTCAAATCGTTGGACTATGCCGGCTTCTATACACCGGTTTAGGAACTGCTAATTCCTAACGGGTCTCAAAGTCCACGCCGACTCGGAGCCACGTGTTTACAAGCTAGCGAAACCACGTGTGAACTTAAACGACACGTCTGATGACAAGGTCAAAGAACGATTATGTTCAGGTCACAAAACAACAAGGGTGGTATAGGCACAGACCAAAATAACAAAAAAGGGGGAATCGCGTTGTTCAATATAAAAAATAGAAGAAAGGAATCAACAGTAACAGTCACATCACTTATATAAGCGTTTTCTGCCATTGAAGATCAGTAGATTATCAGATACTAAACTATTACACCGAACGAAACATTGCTTCTCTGATTTACAGCTGACGAAGCAACTGGTGAGTGCTTTGTATACTTCTGCGTTAACTGCCGATTAGGATCTTGCATTTTAACTTACAAAACGGATAAGAAACAGGCATTTAAATCGATTGGCGTTAACTTACTTTTAGGAATGTCACTGAGCTGAGTTGTGGGCGAATGTGCGACAAACACCTGATAACTGGACAAATAGTTTCTGAACTTTAACTAGTTTCAAGTTAGTTGATCAAAAAGCATCCTTTTCAGTAGATTTATCTGCAGTGCATAATTTTCTAATTTTATGGTATTCGGACAGGAAATGTTAAATGGGTACAAAAGCGCAATGATTGCCCCGCTTGCTTTTTTGTACTGTAATTGCCGGTTCGAATATCAGTAACATAAGACAATACATGAATAGTCATCCTCGTAACTGTTTATATCAGGTACAATCCAGTTAGGCAGCTGATTTAGGATGACAAGTTTGCTGAGTAATCCTACATATAAGACCACATTGATTCCTGGAATACGGTGTGTACGTCTCAAGACATCAGGTATACGAGAGATGTACTTCTCAGCACTCATCTTTTCGAAATAAAGTTGGAATATGTTCCTCAGTCAGCTCAATTCCTACTGGGATAAAAATTTCCCAGCCACCAAAAGAACAGTTGCCAAGTTAACAAAGTGGGTGAGCACCCTAGTGGAACGGCTACATATTGTATTGTCTACACGGGATTGATCAATGCTAAAAGATGAGGTATTCCTCCTGATCGGAACGATCTTGAAAATTGAAATTATTCCACAAAGATACCATAATCATTCCATTTTTCAAAAAGGAAAAAGTGCCTACCGGGAGCCAGCAGGAACATGTGTTGCAGCCAACATTTTAGCGTGCGATCTGACCACCTGGCTGAATGCTGATACTCTGATAGAAAATGCCGATGAGGAGAAATGTGGATTTCGGAGCAGGAACAGCAAATTTGAACTTATGTGTTCAGCTTAGAAGCTGCAAAATAATACCACGAACAAGGCCGAATGGTAAGACTGTGGGTGTAAATTTATAAGATCTTTTGAGTTGATGTTGTGGATTAGTCTACGGAAAATTTTAGCGTTTTCGGATCTTTTCAATATGGAACGGAAGTTTGTGTAAGTGCCAACATTGGTGCTCAAGAATTAGCTCCTCATTTTTCGGCAAACTTATTTCTTTTACCTGAAGTTTGCACAGTAGCTGATATGTGGCCTTACCGGAAACCTCAACTAGATTCAATGTTCACAAAACAGATTCAGTTGATTTTTCCGTTGCGAGAGTGTTTCGTGATTCAACAGGGTGAGCACATTACAGAAGAATGCTGGATTCCTTCAGATCTCGTGTCTTTCACATGTACGGGTGGAACGACGGTTTATAATGAAATGATGCATCTCTAGACAGATCGGATAAATCAGGCTACTCCATATCAGCTACGGCTCCCCGAATTCCCGCACCTCATCGTGGACCAAGAACACGTTGGAGGTTTTTTATGAGCATAGCTCAGCCGGTTTTATTTCCATATCTTTTAATCAATATCTCTTCATTAAAAAGCCGCGAAACCCTATATATCTTATTCGGTATGTGTCACGACAATTTTTGTGGGCCTTAAATCTGGACGAATAATTTCCGTGTAAGTGAATACACGTGAAGATAAATATTCATTACACTAGAATTTAGGTTTTCCCGAAATTTCGGTTTTTTCGTCTCTTGGTTGTACAAAGTATGCAAGTATATAAAATACTGTAGTTGTAAATTGCCTATAAGTTAAACAGGATACAATACATATCATGCATACGTACATTGCATACGAATATGTTGAGCTTTGAGACGACATAATTTTGACGTAAATCAGACATTCCTTTATTGTTAGCCTGACTACTGTTCAGATCGATGTATAACTGAAAGAATCACGATTATTCCAGAATTCGTTGGAGTTCACGACGGGCTGTACTCTTGGATTCCACATTCTACCTTCGGAGGTATCATAATTTTTACACATACAATTATCAAGAACCTTTGCTTAATCAATTAACTTATATTGGAGTGTGTATGATTGCCTATATTGAGCACCATGAAAAACCATTACAAACAGTTCTGTCGTATTCGCAGTAGGCCAATTATGTAATAATCTTGTCAGTGACAGATTGCGGGTGACGTTGTGTGTTTTCGTTTTAGGAACAGGAAGCCGGTTGGCCGTTCATGCAACCCAGATGGCCCTTCTTCCACTGCTTGCAACTCTGTTCAATTAATCGTCCCACCGCCCCACTCAAAAAGTTTACACAACTAATTTTCAAAGATTCTAGAAACTTATGTTGCCCGTGGGAGTCTTCCATAAAACAGCTGACGTTTCGAACGTCTCTTTCTTTATCAGAAGTTGCGCTTAACACCCTAACGACAATTTCCTAACGGTTGCTAAAATAAAGATACAGCCAATGTACGTAATCCTACCAACACACTGTACTAACCGTTTTGTCAACATTTTGCAATGACTTGTGCGTAACAAAGATTGGTTGTTCTCATTTAACATTTAATATCAGAGTGTACGTAAATATTGCTGTGTTTCGTCCGGAGCTCTGAGTCTAGCGCATTTAGTTATTCTGAAAAATGCCTCTTCATCGAAAACTCTCTAAGAGATTCAGGGCTGTCACTGTCTCACTGGACCTCACACTGAAGATATCACCTCGATTGGTGATGAAATGTTCGCAATTCAACTGCCAAGCTCGACTAACACACCAACAAACAAGTTGCTTCGATTCCGTTTTGCTTATCCTAACTGTGATTGATTTTTTAAATACAGAATTGATAACCCAAGATAGAGGTTAAGATAAGCATTTGGTCAAGAATGAGCGTCTCTTTCGAATAGATCCAAATCAGGCAGTGGTGAGGGGGAGTGAAACAAGAAATAACCATCGCGCGCGTTGCCTCAGAAAGTAAAAACCTTGATTTGAATATAACTGTCCTTACAAAATTCAGACGGTACCAGCAAAAGATTACCCACATATATGGTTCCAAGCAAGCTCCAAAGAAACATGATGAGGCAGCGTGTACAGAAGAACGCTTTTTTGATAGATATCTCCATAAGGGTGGTATGCAGGATTAGCTTCACAGACTTGCCTTAGATGATTTTGAATCTCACCAGGATGGGAGTTTTCGCGAAATTTCGGAAAACGTATTCTGTTCGATGTACGTACCAGTCCAAATTATTCACTTTTGTGTATGAAATATTTTGTCAAACTTTTGTGCAAATTACACAAATGGTACAGATTTAACCACCAAGATGGTATATGAACTGATTTGATTTTTTTTCTATTTACTAAATAAACCCACAAGAGCTTTCTTGATTTTACAAAGATTTTATGAATGCTTGTGTTATGCCTTGGACTGAATTCCATCGAACTATCTTGGCTGAATACGATATAAAACTTCGGTGTGCCTACCTGTGAAGACTCAGATCAGAAGTTCATCGGGCTGAGTGGAAAAATTGCGAGTGTAGCGGTCAAAGTCGCAGGTCCGAGAAAATGATTTGTTGATTTTATTGGAAATAGGAACTCAAGTATATCGAATCACGTAATCAGTGGATGTAAAACAGTTTTCACATGGTTAATAGGTGTAATGATTTACCTACCTTACACTCGGTGACTGCGAATAACCTGATGCAATCTAGTCTTCGGACTTTAACCTGGCATCCTGTTAAACATGTGGGTGGATTCAGGAGACCCACCAATGTTCGAAGTTTGTCTGACTGTGTGGGCGCATTGGGAGAAACCAATTGACGATGGCTTAGTTGGTCATGTTACTTGATCGCTGAACGTAATTGGAACATACGCAAATGAATACTGGCCATCAAAAGCCCAATGCACAGAGAACTACGAATAGACACTTACACTTTTCTTTGTTCGGTAGCCTTAGCGGAATGCCACTTGCAGTCACCTGGTAATGCAGCACCATGCAACTTTAGAACCAACAGAGTTATCATCAGTTACCCTGGTTGAATCATTGGAGTTATTGAGTTCTAGGCTTTCGCTAGCGCTTATCCCTGAGTGGAAAGCAGTTTATTCCTTCTGATGTCACTCAGTCGTTAAATAACTCTGTCTCATAATCACCACATGCGTGAGTGATGTAGCAGATAGCATGAAGAGTTCATTTATCCTCACAGTTGGGACCTCACGAAAACAGGAAGAAATTTCACATCGGTTACTAAGACATGGGATACAGTCACCATTCACGACATTTCAAAAGATTCGCAGTGCGTAATCGCCGAATGTGATCAGGTCTAAACGAGAAATCACATGACGAATCTTATTCGGATTAGGAATCATAAAATGGATGCTATGTAATCAGATAAATGATTTCAGCACTTTATGTTCATGCTCATTCTTAACATAGGATGAATCCATACATCACTTTTATGATTTGAAAGGATTACCACATTTGCTGTGTTGGTTTGCTGCATGCATGCACGTACTTGAAAAACCTGAACACTTGCAAGCAACCGTTACTCACAAAGGAATTACTAAACCTTTATTCGTGTAGACGCGATGGTCCGTTGTTTGTAAGTTGTTGACTGTAGGCAATGCGAGCGTGCACTAACCTGCTAAAATCTGTTACCAGGGAAGCTTTACACAAACATATGAAAATATGATTCATAGAAAGGAAAAAAGTGTGGAATCATTTCCATGGAAAGTTATTTCAGTAAAGCTCATTTTCAGGTAGAATGTTGAGCTCATTGGAAGTGCAATATTTGCATGGTCGTGATGGTCAGCTTAGAGAAGTCTTTGGAAATAAGCGCAGTTATTATGCGTGCAGTATCAGTAAGCCACAAAAACTCGGTGAAATCTAGGAGAACGTTGCGTGCCCAATAGAATGATAGTCTTGAATTCTGATGCACAACAAGGGGAAGCATTATATTATCAGGCGCATGATATTCCACAATACTGCGTTGCGGGGAAATTTCCAACTTCTCTAGGAAGACGCCCCTCTTCTAGATTAGACCTCCACAGTAAAAAGGAGGTTTTACTAAATGCTTCAATCCTTGGGTTAAAAAACCACCGTCTGTATAGCTAAATTCAACGCCGAATGTAACTACACGGATCAAACCTTGTAATGAAGTAACGTGGTAATATGTAACATCCTGCGTCTTATCGAGCGCCTACGGTCATACTAAGCTACGACTGGGTCTAAATATAGCACTGGAAAGACAAGATAACTCGATCTATTCAATGGAGAAGACGGCTTGCAAGGCTATCACGGGTAAATATCCTTGCGTTGTTCAAATGTTGCACTCATATTAGTGTGCCTTCAAGTGAGCCAAATGTTCCGTTAATGCTCACAGTTCCTTAAACGGAGAATAATGATGTGCATTTCACATCGCTGAGTTAAATCACCTCAAAAATCTAGGCTGCATTAAGTTTACTCCATTCGCCCATTTTATGAGGTATGTATTGAGATTGTTGAGCGTTAGGGAGTCAGCATTTCAAGTGTAGCACGCAGCAGGTCTTTCCTGCGACTTGATGGCAAATCCAACAAAACCCGTGTATTTAGTACTTGAATCCTGTATGCTCACCATCTAGATTCTTGAGTTTAAAATTTGAACTGTGCAGAAACATCAAAATCGTACCAAGCAACATAACCCGATGTAGGTTAGCCAGGTTTGGGATAACACTAATGATATATCAATCAATATTAATCAATAATCAACAAACCAGTCAAAACTTCGAAGGTCGCTGATGTGATACGATATATGAAATGTGACCGCGTACTCCCAAAACATAAATGCTCTCTATATGAGCAAAGCAGGAGCTAACAAACCACGACTAGGTGAAGAAATTAGCGATTATTTGCCCCTGGGGAAGAGGATTACAGAGGAAATTGAGAACCAGTGCATAAAATGTGGCCATCGTAAATGTACATTTATAGTCTGCATGG